TATCCTATCCATTGCCTTCATTTCCTAACACAGATGTGCATTTCATAAAAATTGGTTTGCATTGACCCATGACCATCTCCCTGCTGACTCAAAGCTTCCTGAAAGCACAACTCTGGGTCGTCCTCCCCATGCAGCCCTCGAGGGCCATGGGGTGAAGCAGCCCCTGGACAACACATTAGGGGAGTGTCCCAGAACTTGCCCCAAATACCGAGGGCTCAAGCTCTCCCTCACCCTGCCTATAAAGACCTTCTTGGCCTGTGGCTTTTCTCTTGTGACGTGAGTGGGTGATAGCACGGGACAGCAACCAGGTGGGTAGACAGCCCGATGGTGACAGACAGGCAGGAGTGGGGAGAGACAGTGTGCTCAAGCTCGCAGAGGACCAGCTGGACATGGTGGCACACACCTGTCAGCCCAGCACTCAGAAGGCTGAGGCAGGAGGATCACCTGAAGCGCAAGATCAACCTGGACTACGTAGTGAGTTCAAGGCCAGCCTGAACTGCATAGCTGGATCCGGGGGGGTGGGGAGAGAGAGAGAGAGAGAGAGAGAGAGAGAGAGAGAGAGAGAGAGAGAGAAATGGAAGGAGCAGGAAGGAAGAGGGAAGAGAACAAAAAGGGATTAACATGTGCTATGTGCATGTACTGGCTCCCCACAAAGAATGTAATCGTGTACTGCAAACGTGGGCTAATAAAAATAAATTCTAAAATCAGAGATAGAGGGTAGGTAGGGAAGACAGAGATGGAGAACTTAATTTTAGGGAGCTCGGGTACATGTGAAATTGTGATGCAGGCCCTTCCACGGGTCCCCCGCTGCTGCAGCCCCTTGTGGCAGGGCCCGCGTTGTACCCCTCAGCTTGCCACGTGGGAGCTGCACCTCAACGTGCTTCTCAGTCACGGTTCTACAGTAAAACGCAGTGTGTGTCTGTGTGTCAGAGAAAGGGGCAGGGCACCCGGGGCACGGTCACCTTCTCCTCGGGCAGACTGGCCGGCAGGTTCAGGTCCTTGACGCTTGGGAACTCCGGCAGCAGCGTCCCGAGCTTGGAGCGCGGCGAGTAGGCCACCGCCTGCTTGCTCACCTCCTTCTTGCCGCTCTCGCTCACCCAGGCTGCCCCCTTCTTGGAGTACATCACGTCATAGTACTGGGAGCTCTCCTTCACCGCGATGCCGTAGTAATGGTACCTGGGCGGCGGAGAGAGGGGGCCGCGTGGGCCACGGTTGGGGGCTGCCTGCTGGGGAAGGGCAGGCTGGCACATCCTCCCCAGGACTGAAAGAGTTAACTCTCCCAGGAGGCTTGATACCTCTGAAGTCTAGAATTAAACCAACGTTCCATGTGCCAGCCGTCAATCAGGCAGGTAAAAATAACCAAAATTGCCTCCTACAGAAAATCTTAAGTCAAATACTTTGCAAAGCCGAGGGGGATGAAAAATTTTCCATTTATACCGGATCTTTGTACCAAGGGTGACCCCAGGGTTGCACACGTATGGGCCCCCAGAACTGCTTGCTGGACCAACGGCTAAATTCAGTGGTTGGTGGTTTCCTAGGAAGTGGAGCACTGTCTCAGGGAGCTGTGGTTTTGAAGAAGTGAGGTCCCTCAAGACCGAGACTTTTTGTTAGCTCAAAACAGCCTTGGCATTAGCAACACTTTGTGTTCAGAGGGCGGGAAGCTGCGCGTGTTGGGATCTCAGTTACAAGCTGCCAAGCACCTGGCACAGGTACGGGGGTGCCGTGCAGAGCTCTTCGCGTGCACTGACTTGTGAAATGACCCCAAGTGGTGCTGTTGATGACAGGCTTCCTGAACCTGGGACGTGGAGGCCAAAGGGCGCAGGCAGACAGCAGGGTTTTGACAGCAGGTCTGAGCAGCTGCTACACTTGCAGAAAACACTGCGCGGCAGCATAAACATTGACATGTGTTGGAATCCTTGATGGAGCTTAATAAAAACGGGCATCTGCAGCTCCTTCCCGGGACCTAGGGGTTCAGGACCACGGGGTGCGGGCCGAGAAGCACCATGGGTAATTCGGAGACACATCAGCTTCAGCGCTGTCCTGAGAAAGGCTTGGCACACATCAGCTTATTTAAGTTCACAAAATTTCTGTGAGACTGGAACTAATTTGTATCTTCATTTTACAGACCAGGAAGGTAAGGCTCAGAGAATTTAGTACTATCCCCACGGTCACGCGAGGAGGCCACAGGCAGGCAGGAGTCTTTACCCACAAAGCTGGGGTTTCTCAAATTTTACTAATAACAAGAAAACTGCAAAACTCATTTCAGTCTCCTGCCTCCCTCCAAGACTCCGGCTTTGTGGGCCCAGGTGACTTTCTCAGTTAATACTAAGGCCATCTGTGGGCCTCACCTTCAGAAATTCTGCGCAGTGTACGAACCACCATCTCTACCCAGAGCTGCACGCTAATCATCTCGAAGGAGGCCAACGCTAGCGCACCCTGACACCGTCTCCCTCTCCCTCGCCCTCCATCCCTCGTACCATTCGGAGATACTCCTGCCCAGTGGGCAGCTCGCCTCTATCTGGGTGCCTCCAGGGTGGAAGAATTCAGGCCCTGCGTAGACAGGCCAGTTCATTTTGAGCCAACACGGTATCAGAAAGTTCTCTGTGTTGGGCTGGTGCCTGTGGTCTGAGCCTTCTACTTCCCAACTGTCACCCAACTGCCTTTCCAGGAGGCCACCGTGGGGGAGGGGCAGCAGCGGGGTTCCAGAAGCCCCTTCTGGTGGGAAGACAGTTATGGAAGGCCCCTCTTGCTCTGGCGTTCCTGCACAGCCTCCCCCAGAGCCACACACTCACAGCATTTCACATCGGCACTGTTTAGTGTGCGTGTGGCTAAAGCTGGCAGCCACAGGACAGTGGTCTCTCTGGTCCCTTTTCTGTATCCCAGTTTGGGTTCTGTGGTGCCCCCCAGCCCGCTTCCCTCACCACCCTACTTTCTTCTGTCCATGTAAATGTGCTGGGGGGTTCCGCTGGCGGCCACGCTCTAGGTTGGAGACCAGAGCTTCTCATGGCCTCTCTAGCTAAAGGTGTCACAGGACACGAGACAACTGATTACAGAGAACCATTAAGCAGATAGTGCTCACTTTGCCAACCTGTAGATTTGGGGAAAAGCGAGAAACCAAGGCAGATTCTCGACACAGACAGGGGACCTTCCTCCAAGCCTGGTAGAATGGGAAGCCTTTCTGTTGTTCTCTGGCCATTTTTTCTCCTGACTTTGCTCTTTCCTCTTCCTGTTCTTAAAATAGGCAACAGCGATTATTCAGAGACCAGGAGCTGATGCCCATCTGCTCGTCCTCTGTCTGTCCTCCATGTACCTGTTGGCACCCTCCGGGTGTCCACGGGCTCACAAAGAAGGAAAGAAGGATCCGGCTTGCCAAAGCAGAGACTCCATTTTTAAACAAATACCAGAGTTTTTTTATTATAAGTGGAAGCCAGGTGTGGTGATGCACACCCGTAACCTTAGCACTCTGGGAGGCTGAGGCAGGAAGGTTGAGAGTTTGAGGTCAGCCTAGGCAACTTATCTGGATCTTGTCTCACAATAAAAAGGTAAAAAGGGGCTTTGGGTTCAGCCCCTACTACCTAAAATAACAAGGTTTGATTTTCAGAGGAGTCCTTTGTTCCTGCATTTTCTGGAAATCCCTTTGGAAATGAGCCCAAAAGCTTCTGAGGCACAAAACAGTTTCATTTTTTTCAGAACTTTGCCCAAAAGTTGGGCAAAGTTTGGAGTACCCATTCCTTTCCTCTCATTTTCATGGAGTCAAACCTACCCTTGGAGGACAAAAATGTGCTGTCTGGGGTGACAGGAGCCTGTGGCATGGGTGTCACCCTGGTGGTGGCAAGACAGTCTGGACGTATTTTGAGACACCCTGGGAGATCAAGGTCCTGGGGCCTCTGTAGCTTTTGAAAAAAGAAAAAGGTGTAGTGTTTCTCGCTCACTGGGTACCGCTTGTTCAATGTGGCAGAACGAGGCAGAAATGTTGCTGCAGCTGGCACCGCACACACTGGGGTCAGAATGGTCCACAGAAGCCTTCAGGTGACCTGGAGCAGGTCCGTGTACTAACCTCCCACAACCTCAGAAACATGCTTACAGGCGAGTCCTACAAGTCAGATCTCAGTGCAGCCTGAGCACGTGTAGAGGTCATCTTCCGACACCGACAACGTCCCGGGAACCGGTGGCCGCGTGCCCTTCGCCTTCTGGGGTCCTCCTGAACATGCCCCCCTCACAAAGCTTCCCTGACACACCCCAATGATCTCTGCAACAACCCTCTGTTGGACATCAGATTCCCTTTTTCTTGTGGGTCCTCCCTGCACCCAGCATGCTGAATCGGCCCAGGGTAAGTGGGAAGCCAGACTTGGTGAGGCAGGCAGGGACGACACTTGGATATGCCGCCTCTGGCCTACTGGAGAGTTTGCTCAGGAAAACAGTCGGAGAGTCTGGGGTCCCCCAAGAGGCCTGCTGCTCCCCCACAAAGCACCTAAAGGCAGGGCAGCACAAAACCGGAGACCCGAGAGAGGGTGGGTAGCCCTAGGCTCCCCTGAGGCACGGACCTCCCACCACGGGGTCCGGAGCCACATCACTGGGCGCTTACTTGGACTGTCCTCGGGTCCCGAGTCTCCTGGTGGTCAGCTGCGGGAACTGCTGCCTGATGATCTGCAAGTCAACACAAGAGCGTGTTACCCTGGGGAACGCTGGGGCGCAGTGACCCACCGAGGCTTGCAGACAGCGGTGACGAGGGCTCAAAGCAGGGTTCCTGCTGAAGGGGAACCTGAGAAGATAGCTGCTGCTGGGAGGCAAGGGGAGCCCCTTCCTGGGCGTGGGACCCTGATCCACGCGGCCCTCAGGGCTCCGGTCCTGCCTGTTCATCATGCAGGAGGGATCTGAGTGGCCTGGCCGGCGCCACTTGCTGCTCCAAGCCCCTTATGGCTTCCAGCCCCTGGAACCCAAGCCAGGCTCTGCCCCCAGGTGGGCCCTGCCTCACAAGCTCCCCCTCACAATGTGCACCACACTTGCCGGAGCCCCTGTCAGAAACCAGTGCCATCCGTTTCCTCAAGATTGGCTCTTTCTTTTTTATTATTTTTTATTTTTATGGTTCTGGGGATTGAACTCAGGACGCTGTGCTTGCCAGGCACTTATTCACTGAGCTATCTCCCCAGCCTGATCGGCTCCTCCTTTAAACCACTTGGGCTCTGGGGGCTAGGTCTCTGTCCCTACCGGCCAACCCAACACACCAAGCGCTGTTCATGTCTCTTCCTACTTGGGCGACGTGTGATCCTGGGGCCCTGGCATGGGGCGTGGGGCACGGGAAGAGCTCAGCCCACCTGTGTGGCATGAAGGCAGGAACGCTGATCCCTGTGGGGGGCTTGGCCTCGGACTGTCTGCAGTGGAGATGGTCACAGGGGTGGCTCAGGCCATCCAAGATCCGCAAGAGACTGGGGCAGGGGCAGGAAATGTCATATAATGGAGGCGTTGGGCGGCAGGAGGCTGAGCTTACATTAGAGCTGACCTGGGCCATGGGTTGGGTTGGTGCCTTGGGCAAATTAGCAAAAACTTCTGTGACTCATTTGTAAAATGGGAAGTGAGGACCTCTTCCTTAGACAACCCTGTGAAGTGTTGAGGAACAAATGTAATAAGGTGTAGTCGGGCTCTCGATGGCTACGTCCCCCATAGGCTCGTGGCCACCAGCATCCTGCCGTCTTGGTGCGCTCCTTTTCAAGCCTAACTCTGCTCTTCCAGCTCAGCATGGAGCAGGTGCTGGGGTGGTCTCAAGCAGACTGGCATCAGCAGGACAGAGAACAGTGGACAAAAGAAGAGGACAAGCACCTGGACTGGGAGCACGCAGATGGCCCTCTGACATGTCAGGGAGCTGAGGAGCTTCAGCCCAGGCAGGGCAGGGCTGCAAGCCCTCCTCTGAAAGTGGGTGAGGGAAGGCTACCCCGGTGGGCTGTTCCAGGAATCTAATGCAGTAGCGGCACAAGACCACTTGTGGAAGTAATCAGACTGAGCAAAGACAGTGCAGTCCTCCTCTGAATTCCTTCAGTGTGTCAGTGACAAGGGCAGCAGATCCCGGGCTCCTTAACCCTGGCTCCCGCACCTAGGGGCCTGGACTGCTCACTCTGTCTCAGTCCCTCGTGGGTCACATTTGATCCATGACAGTGCCCTTTGAATACTGCATGAAACTGTACCAGGCTCAGGGGCTGCACCACATGGGTCGGCAGGAGTTATGCCACCAGCCCCAGCCATGCAGGCTCAGCACGGGACTGGCCAAGCGCAGGCACGGAAGGCGTGGCACCAAGCAGGCAGACTTGGGCCAATGTGGGAGAAGAACCGAGCGAAGCGAAAGAGTGGGGCTAGGGGCCTTCATCCTGACTAAGAGTCGCCATGGTCTGAGTTCTGAGCTTCTCCCCCCCCACACAGAAGATGACGGACAACAGTCGCACAGAGTCAAGGGCTGGAAGCTCAGGGTGCAACCATAAGAAGCCGCGTCGGCGCCCTGAGATGTTTGCAGACGGTAACGCTCAGTGCCGTCAAAGCTGTAGTGAAACAGGACTGCTCAGCCGCGTGCAGACAATATTTATTAGCACGACACTTGCCCAGAGCACTTACACAATATGTGTCAGGGTCCATGAAGTGCTCATCTTTTTGATCAATATCGATTCCAATATAAGATCAGAAAGCTAAGTCTGGGGCTATGAGCGACAGCAAAGAATAAGAAACAACGTAAGGAAATCTCCAGTGCTGAGTGCCTCCCCCACCCCGCCCGCTGAGTAGGATTCTCTGCCGAGTTCCGGGAGCCCGCAGACCCAATCCTAGCCCAGGTCCGGCACAGTTCAGACCTGGCATACACGCCTGAGGTGTAATCCTGCAGCTGCAACCTCTGCAGGGGAGAGTGTAGAGAATACATCCAACCAGCTAGTCCAGGAGCAGAACATCTCACCACAGGGGCACAACAGGTTCACCCTTATGGGCAGCAGCAGAAAGGATTGAGCACAGCAGCCAGACCCAAGCCAGATGCAGCTGGATAAGT